GGAGAACTGCGGCGAGCCACAAGAGGACAGCCCGTGTCTCCAGACCGAGCTTCGTATTCCATTGCTCTTAAAACACCCGACTCCCCTCTACCCTTGGTCTCCTACTTTCGCTATGCGAATGTCGTTTCAGAGCGAACATGCTTGTTTGTTAACCTCACCATCCTCGGCTCTATCACGAACACCATGAGTCCTATCCCACTCCCACCAGGGGGGTTTGCCCTCAAAAAACGCACAGTACAGAGACCTACCGATCCCGACGGCCTCATTCTCGAAGCATGGTCCCAAGGATATCTGGTCGGATCTCTAATAATTATGTCGTTTATCACCGTTTCCAATATGCGCAGAGGAGTGATGCTTCACAAGGTGAGTGCGCAAACCCTGCTAACAAAGAATCGCCACTGACCTCACCTCACTAGCTTATCCTTCTCGAGGTACCAGCACCTACATCACCTATTGCATTCGACCGTTTCGATTCTAATTGAGAGTAGTTGCTTCTCGGGATCTGGCAAGGGTTTTGGTTATTCTTCCACAGCCCAATACACGCCTGGTGGCTGTCCGTGGGCGCCATATTCTTGAACATGTCCTGGTCGCTGCATAATGTTATTGCCTGGATGAAAATTAAACCATTCTTATCGCGGCCCGTTAGCTGGATATTCATTGGTACTGTCGTCTTGGTGCAGCCATACTGGGTTCTCGAAATATATGCAAACTTTGCATACTTCCACAGTATCAACACACTTTTCCTTAAGACACGACCATGGGAGGCACTGTGCAGGTAAGTTCTTCGCAGCACATGTTCTTAAGGTAAAGTCTGACAGTCGCCAGGGACCCGTGGTGGATATACACTACCATTGCACTCTTCTGGAACATCAAGGTTCGCTACGAAATGACGCTCTCAGAGATCATCCGCATCTCACCACGCTTCGGCGTTATGCTCGGCGCAATGCTCCTCAGCATCATCTTTATTGTCCTCGACATCTGCTCCGTGACTAGCGCCTTCAAATCTACACTCCCGGTCGGCATCAATCCGTTCTGGAAACTAAGCTTTGTCTTCAAGTGTCTCACCGATTCTGTCGTCCTAGATGACTTCAAGACCGCTCTGGACAGGCTAAGAGCATTCAAGATCAGCCGCCTCGGAAGCTTCTCCCAAGACAACAGCGACCGCCGCTCCCGAAACGACGGAAACCTCGTCGCATCTTGGGAAGAAATGGCTGCAGAAGCCGAAAGAAGACCCGCGATGCCCAGTCCCGACGGCGACTACATCAAACGGGGCCATTTCCCTGGCTTCAAATCTCACAGGAAGCAAAGAGAGCACAGAGAGCACAAGGATTCCGTAATCTCGCCTGACCAACCCCACTGCGATTCCTCGAGCAAGAGTTTAAAACCTGAAGATATTGTGCCAAGCGCTTTGGAAGATCCGCCACTCAGATCAATGGAGGCCGCGCATACGAATGAAAAACGGCGGAATTGGGCGGACATTGGCTTACAGGATGCAGGACATTTGGCTGAAGAGTCAGATTACTGCCAAGCACTGAGAGAAGTCGAAGGACATAGTCGCCCGGTGAGCCCAACGATGAGCTTCCCGCGCCGGTCCCGATCACGTTGAGAGCTGGAATCCAAGACTCACGAGCAATAAGCACTGAATATCATAATGCGGGAATCAGTGCGGTTTCCAGCCAACGAGAGGAGCTGGATTGGTCCGTGCTAACCGGATTCGGGAAATGAGATGATCATAGGATTTCCTCACGGTTCCACGACTGCATCAATTGCGCGACCTGGAGGATGAGCATGGCTAAGCTGTATACCCCGCGTAGGTCCTTGCCGCAGCACTGAGCTGCTGGTCGGCCTCGTGGGGAACCGACTTCAGGGATAAAACGAGCTCAGCCTTGTATCATATTGCACGACATCAACTCCGAATCCTCAATCCAACCTTCATTCACAACAAAGACCTACGATAGATATCACCGGTTCGGAATTTGGCTTTAGGCAAATCCTTCGCTTTTTGACTGGTGCTGGGATACTACCCCCACTTGTACAAGTCTGAAGAGTTGGAAGACCACTACGGATTCAGCGCTGTTAGAAAGGCCCATCTACAAATTTTTGTGAAGAGGGTCATGACTTGCGATTTGAATGTCGACAACACATATCTAAGACCTTGCATAGCGTAGAGAAGTCAAAGAATATCAGAGTGGCTTCGACGATAGCCAATCACTGAGGAAACAGATTACATCTCCACAACTATATCAACTAGTCTATCTTTCAATTTTCACTCATTGATCCCGCTTTTCTACATCACACTAGAGTATAACCGCATACACGCACATCCTCTTATACCTTTGCTTGCAAACTGTACTGCGCCATCCTGGTTAAGATACAGAAATTACTCTTCATGTCAGGGAGCTACACACCTTCACGATCTTTGTTCTCGCCGTGATTTTCCTAGACCTCGCGGTCTGATTTTGATTAATTATAGAGATGAAGGCAGCGATAGAACGTATACGTGATTTCTAGCCGAGGTTTTCATTCACTGTTCTTTTCAAACCTATTGCTTTCTTGAAGAATGAAATACATCATGTACACATATCCATCAGCCCTGTTTCTCACCAACTTTCTACATCCTATTACCGTCAATGCACCTCACCATGTTACGACAGAAGAATCAAAATATCCACCCAATTATGCTCAACAAGAAAGCCCCATAAACCATGCAAGAACAATCTGGCTCCGGACCAAAATCAACCCCTCCCATCCCTCCAGCCCAGCCAGTTGCATACAACACCGCACACTGCGCTCATTCGACGTCCCAATCCCCATACCTGACGCCATCACCCCCCAATCCAGGCCCCCTACCATCCCAGCCACCCTTTCTCAAGTCCAAGCCCAATCCAACATCCCTCGTCCCAGATACATCAAATCACGATTCCGGAAACAAGCTACTTCTCTCCCCTGGAAAATCCGCAAAGGCAATCTGGCTTCATTATCCGAAGGAGATTAGAGAGGCGTTAGGGCATGGGAATCCAATCAGTAACCTACCTTTGCTGAGTACACACGATATAGCAAAATAGGCACACCGCTATCCCCGGACACATAGAGCAGGGGAGCCGCTGAGAGGGAGGATACAGTTCCCTGATATGGATGATGCCAGCGAAGAAGATATCCAGGATGCTGTTTTTGCGTAGGCGGAAGGTTTGAGCGCTGAGGAGTTGTGTGTGTGTGTGTGTGTGTGTGTGTGTTGGGGGGGGTTGGGTGTGTGATTGGGGGGATTGATGTGGGAGACGGATTTTTTTAATTGTATGTTGAGATGGCATTTCGAGCTTTTGGGAAAGGGAGATGAAGAGAAGAAACGGGTATTGGAGCAAGAAATGGAGACAGGGAAGGAGAGGAAAAGGAAGGGGTTGGTTCTTTTTTTTTTTGGGGGGGGGGGGGGGGAAGCAGTGGGAGCAGTGGGAGCATTAGCCGCAGATGACGAGTCAGGAGTTTACGGTCCCGCTTTCGGGATCGAAGCCCAGGATGAGATATTTGTAGCCTGGCCGGAGAGAACGATATTATTGAGCAGATGCTGGAAAAGCTAAAATGGTGTGGCAAAGCCATTATGAGCCCGGGAATGGGAATGTGGAGGTTGTTTGGGTTTTGGGTGCCTACAATTCCGAATTGGAGTGGAGGAGGGGGAGGTTGGACGGATGGATAACGGGATGGAATGGGTACGTTTTTGGAGGGATGGGGTGAATGCACCAATTCTTGCGTGGGGTCTGTATTATATGCGCAAGGAGGAAATTGAAGCCATGGGCTATGGGAATACATAATGAAATCCACGTACCCTCGAAATCAGAATATCTGTTTACATGCACGAATTTCTGACCCCATGAACGTGTAGCTAACGCGCCAGTGCGAGCTGAATCGGTGAGAGGGTCTTGGACAGATTTTAATTTTTGATAACAGCCTTTGACGACAATGTATTCCTTCTTGAATTGGGGATGGATGTATAATAAGGAAAGCATATTACAAGCCGATCCTAGTTTAGGGGCATAAAACGTATCCTATCCTTCCCCTTGAAGTAGGAGTGCCCCTGCAATGCCGCTATTTCCCAGTGCTACATCCAGTTTTGTTGTCGCTATCATGCTGTGTGAGGTGTAAGAGGGAAAAGTATTAGAGGAAACATGGCTTTTAATAGTAGTCCATGCAATAAATTCTATAATCTCGGTCATGCCGGAGGTATACGTCAAAAGAGATCACCGCCCAATCGGCGCTTTTGATCGAGCAAGTTGGAAGTCCCGAAGGGTCTCTAAAGGTGACGATCTGGGTATGTGGTTTCTGATATAATAGAGAGTATCATGAAGAATTTGATGCAGCGGGTCCTTATGCTGATACAAGAAGAAGCGTACTAAATGCCGAACAAAATGAAAGGAATGTTGAGCCGTTTGCCCTACTCCGACTCGCTCTTCCACAAACAGGCCGAGGATAGACAAATCTAAAGTACATATTTCTTAGAAAGACATATTCTATGCACATACAGCTTCAAGGGGTTCATTTTCCACTCACCAGACCTTTAATACGGATTTGGAGGAATATTTCAAACAAGCCACGTGATCGGTACGTTCACCCTCTGGCTTTTACAATATCATCCTCCTTTGAAAGACCTCAACAATTTGGGAGGCAGTCGGATGGCATGAAAATTCCTCTTTGGCTTTTTTGAATTAGACGTATGTTAGTATATCGCTGTGATGACCTTGAATTTTTACAGATCTGTGTACTCTGCAGCAGAGGGGTCCTCGCGGGCCGACTGTGTCAGAGAACACTGACTTCATTTCACTCGAAGGAGTCTCAAAAGGTGCAAAGAAAAATAGCTTGCGTTATTGCATCGCAAAGGATATGTGCATATGAAAGAGTGATGGGATAGCCTCAGTGAAACGCACCAATCATTCTAACCACAGCCCAGCACATAACCTTCTTGAATAAATCACATAATTATAAGCTGTTTAACCCGCGAAATTTGTCAAATCGCCCGCGTGGCTTAGTGGTACAGCGTCTCACTCGTATTCTTTATGCGTTTATGAGAAGATCCTCGGTTCGATTCCGAGCGTGGGCACATTTTATTTTTGTCTTTTATCTTTTCGAGTGGATCTACACACATTTCCGCTGTAACTTGCATTGGACACATCTCTTTTTGACCTTTGAGGAAGTTGTGGGGAATTTCATTTAGCGGGGCTGACAGGATGGAAACTTGATTGGTGGCTGTGGCGAGGCGCTTTAAGTTCAGCAGGTTCCATCATCAATTCGAGAAAATGATATGGAGACACTGATATTTCGGGTATACGAAGAGCGGAATAGAAGCCTGAGATATAGTATTTGGATATCTGACCCTGGCATGGTGCAGGAAAAAGAGTCGCACAATAAAACCTATCCCGGCTCCAACAGGAATTGTATGTCGGCATGCTGAGACGTAATGCCTACAGGATGGATTATAAGCAGCCTCACGGAGACCTGTAAAGGTATGATGGCACCAATAGAACGCGTGAGGTAAGTTTCAGGTTTAAAGCCTCATTTTTTGTTTGCTATTCCCTTCGCTTCCACCCCAAACATGCGCGATATCTTTCGACAAGTATCATCCATCAACATCACCTCACCCTCCATAATCCCATTGAAGTATAATTCTCCAACAAATTCGAACATTTCGATTCCCTGTTCTCCACCTTCTTCCCTCTCATTTATCTTTCTCACTACAAATGGCACTCTCCCCCCATTAACTACTACCAACTGATCCCCAACCTCACTCCCTGCCGGCACCCACCTCAGCTTCCTCCCTCGGTAACACAAAATCGCCGCCCACTAGTCCACATCTGAACTACAGCCTCCATCTTTCGACCCAGATTAAGTCACAGTCCACTCCTCCAGTTTTAACACAACATTCTGCCTCACTTCTCCACTCGGAGGTGCATCCAAACACAACTTTGCACAACCACTTCCATAATCCCTATACCACTGGATTGCACGTGCACCCCGGCATTCATTTCATAAGTAAACGTTTTCCAGTATTGCCGGTAGCGAGCGTGCATATCGGGGTCAAGTGCTGCTTCTATGCACATTTCGCGAGCGAACTCGAGTTTGGCAGGTGTGAGAGTTGCCGCGAGGTAGGTAAAGTATTCTGGGCTAGGGAGGTGTGAGAAGGCTATGCCTAAAGATTCGTGGATGCGATGTTGCATGTAGCCGGGCTGAGAGGCAATCATTTCGTCGACAGTGGCTGGGAAGGAATGGGTAGATCCGGTCTTGTCCGGGGGAGAGTGGAAGGTGCCGGCTTGGCTATGCGGGCAAAGAGTCCGGAGCGTAGGTAGAGCGCTTTCTTACCTTTTGGGAGCTGTTTAATGGCATATTTGCAGAGGGTGTAACCTGCTGTGCGAAAGAAGTCGCACTTAAAAAGTCGGGGGTTTGCAGGGTATGAGCGCCAGTCGGGAACCCGGGGGGATATGCTTTCGTCGGTATCTTCTTTCCAGGAAAGGCCTCGAGTCGCGCAGGCTGGGAATGCGAAAGTCTTTGAAGTTATCAATATACCATTCTGTGAAATGGGCGTATACTTCGTTAACGTTGGTGTCGTAGTTCACGGGAAATCCAGCGACTTCAAGCTCGGCTACGAGATCGAAGACACCGTACAGTCTGTCTCGTGGATTCGAGCAGCCAAATGTGCTGGAGCCGTACAGTAAACCGAGAATGACCATTTCCGTTTAGCGTTTTGCCCAGGCATATTGCATCCTTATCCTCCTCCTACAACGGAGGACGATTCCTCGTTACAATCACATGATTCTTCTTTCTCAGCATTTGCCCAAGAGTGCCACCAAGCAAGTTTTGGTCATCATAGAATAGCAAAGCTTCCATACCCTGGTGTCTGATGACTGTCACTGCCCGTGTGAGCTTCTTCCAATCAACTACTCGCTTCCCAGCCCACAGTTCCAACGTTTTCGCAAGTGCAACCTCCTGGATAATTCAAAAGCATGAGAACCAAGGTCTGACAATAGAGTTTGCGAGCGCGCACCACCTTGGGAAATCGGCTAAGTTTTCGCTGATTCCGATGTCAATAGTAATTGAAGATGAGAGCATGAACCAAGAAGCCAGAGACTCAATTAAGTGATTCGCCGCATGATCTTCATCCCTGGTTCCGCCTAGCCAGACAAGAACTTTTCTTTGCGAGAGTGAAGGTCTAGCCTATAATCTTTACCTGCGCGTTGCGCTCTACCGTGTCTTCTTGATTGATACATATCGTATCATTCCATACAAATCTTGCCTTCTTAGGTAATCGGAACGCATGAAGTGCATCGTGGAAGTTCTTCGTCACACTGAATAATGCTTTTGAGAGGAATAGCGAGCGGTGGCTTGTCGGAATCCCCCCAGACTTAGGATATCGCTTCGTAGTTGGGTTTGTTTTCTAGGACGTTGTTGACGAGATTACAGTGGATTGGGTCTGTTTCGTTCCCAGGCTCGAGCTTTAACAGTCAAAAGGGTGTTAGGGTTTTGCTATTGCCTTATCCACCTAGTGCTTTTGAGATCTTTCGGATGGAGAAGCTTTTATGAAATGAATGATTAGAAAGGTTTGGTATTGATAAGAATTTGATACGATTTTCGTGTGACTCTTGAGACCTTTGGGTGCTCTGTATAAAAATACAACTGGATGGCACTCTAGCGCCAGGAGGGTAGGGTTCTTGGAAGAAGGGATCTCTGTGTCTAGGTACCCACAGCTCTATGAAGCTTGCTGTGGCTACGATTACTGGCGGAGAGAGAGTCTGAACAGGGTACTGGAGATGGTGGTCTTTGTGATGGGCTTTCAAGTGTCCTTTTTGAGGCCGATCCTGGACCTTCAGCTTAAAGGACGCGGCTGGGCTTCATCGTGCCGCCACGAATCGAGATCATGTCCATATCGATGCTGCTGTCCCAAAAAAAGGTAAGTGAACAGCTGTGTAAACGAGACTTATTGATGAACTTGAGGGAAATGGCAATGTTCGGTGATGAAGTGGGACGGGATGGTGGCGAAGTAGCTGGACCCGATTCGGGAATCTGATACCGTAATCAGTCCAAAAATACGATCAAAACCCGCATCAACCCTGACCAACTTTCTAGCACCATCCTTCACATTCGCCATCAACCCCCTGACTCCGCACTCCCGTGCTCGGAATTCGCTTCTAATCTTCTCCTATATGATTGGCTGATTGAGTCATCGCGCGATAGTCAGACAAAGCCAGGATGCCTCGGCGCAATATGAAACCAACATTCTATAACAGAAGTGCGGGGCGACCGTCATAGCGCATAAGAGTTTCGCGGGGTATCCAAGAGGAAGTTGAGCTCTCCATATGAACTTACTCCAAATTCCAGCACAAGACTTAAACACTTCTTCTTGAACCTCACACTGATATATAAAGATTGAATAAAACGAAAATGGCCGAGCAAAAGAGCTCAGCGAATCAGCGATTAACTCAGATCAAGGACTTCTTAACAATGAATAAAACAGCCACCACGATTCCTTGGGATCCAGATTGCACAAAGTTTCCAACACGAAAGGAGCTTCCTTCGATCCCTGGAGCACCCCCGGAAGCGGCGTGGGTGTGGGGAGACGATGATTATGTTTGTTCCGCTAAGTCTACGACTACGGTGTACTTCAAAGCTGATGGTTGGGTAGCTTGGGCGAATCAACCTCCTGACACCTACTCGGGTGTCGGCAGCATCGAAGGAGATCAAGACCGGCGAGATTATATCTCTGAAGTGCGATGATACATAACAACTAAGTTCCAATGACTATATTAACTCTTGATAGTCTTCCTCTGAATGTTCCTTCTCAGCCAGCCTTTGGTCGTGCAATTTTCACGCACGAAATCAAGACTGTGTTTGAGAATGTGGTGTACGACGACCTCTATCACATGAACACACAAAGCGGTACGCAATGGGATGGATTCAGACATGTATGGCCTTACTGTTACGTTTTCATAGTTTAGTTGTTGTCTAATGTGAGATTGTAGTTCGCCCATATTCCCACGAGAAGTTTCTATAATGGCGTAAGCTTTACTTCTCTCCTCCGTCCATTTATGTGCTTACATATTTCCCAGACCAAAGGTTCAGATATTGTCGGCCCGAATGCCAACCACAAATGTTCCATACATCACTGGGCCGAGCATGGCATTGCTGGTCGTGGTGTCCTTCTTGATTACCGCGGCTATACCCACAAGAAAGGCATAAACTACGACCCTTCGACTACTATCCCACCTCTTGGGAAGAGCTCTACCAATGCGGTAAAGACCAAGGTATTGATATTCGACCTGCCGCACAAGGTGGCGACATCAAGATTGGAGACATGCTATTTGTCCGCAGTGGATGGAAGGAGGCGTATGATTCAAAGACCCCCGAAGATCGAGCAAAGGCTGCTTTGAGGGAAGGGAGCGGGAAAAATGGAGAAGATGGGTTGAGATATGCAGGATTAAGCCAGGAGCAAAAGATCCTGGATTGGTTGCATGACTGCTATTTCGCTACTGTCGCTGGCGATGCACCAGCTTTTGAAGCGTGGCCAACTCATGAAGGTATGCTTACCTAAATCCCTCCTCTCTACTAGGACAAGGCTATACTGACGCTACGTTGATGTAGATTACCATCTTCATGAATATATCCTCGCTTTATGGGGTATGCCTTTGGGTGAAATGCTGGACCTAGAGAAGCTTGCCAAGCGGTGCCGAGAGACGAACCGTTGGTTTTTCTTCTTCTCCTCTGTGCCCGCGAACTGTGTTGGTGCGTATCACTGTCCTTATTTATTTAACAATCATCAGTGCTGATCCATGTAAATGAATAGGTGGTGTGAGTTCCCATGTAAACGGTAATGCGATCTTGTAGCATGCCAGGTGCTCCAACGGACCTAAAATGACTTCAGCTCACACATCATGGGTCGCATTTGCTAGATACATATCGAGACCGAACAAAATAAGTACACGGATACATGCGTTCTTATCCTTGGCGCTGTTCATATTGCACGTCAAGACGCTGATGTACTGACCGGCATATCCTAGAAATTGTTTGAATCCCACCCAGCGGTCGACTTCTGCATATGCGTTCCCGCCATAT